TTTGACAGTACACTGTCAGCCCCTCCAATGCAATTAAAGTCTGCCCAGCTGTCAGTCACTGCCACTCCCTGCAGTAGATATGATGGGGCCAATTTACCAGGTCATTAAAATAATGCAGGGTGACACCACTTACTACATGTGTTCCCCTTCAATGCCAAATAGCACATCTGGCCAGGAAGGATGATCATGTGGTGAAAGAATGGGACTAGGAGAGCCAGGTGCCATTATCTCCTTTGCAACAGAATCCCTGTGTGATCTTGGGCAAGTCAATCAGATTGGTTAAGGAAGCAATTTTTCTCTGCTGCTGTGAGAATCTGCTTAGCAGCTTCCCTGACCTGGGAAAGGAGCTCTTCAAAAAGCCCAGAGGGGAAAAACAGTCACAAAACACAGAGAACCCCAAGTGTCACTCTACCAAAATGCCTCCTCAGTCTCTTCCGTTCTCCTCCCACACTGTCAAGAGCCCACCTCAGGAAGCAGACTTCCTTTTACTGTAACTTGTACTGAGCTTCCTCTTGGCGGAGTTCCTGAAATGAAATCTGAGAGAGGCTTCAAAGAGAAAAAAACCCACCATCACAGCACAATTACAGATAAAAACAAGATTCTTCTGCTGGAGCAGTTCCCAGAAGTTTTTGTTATTATTATTTGTTTAACTGAAGATTAGGTTACTTCCTGCAACTGCTCAAGAGAAGTTAAATATTTTAGTTCCAGAGTTTTTATTCAGTTTTCCCTTCCTCTCCAAGCAGATACTGAAACTAGGCAGTACCATCTTTTTCCCCTCTGACCCTTCTTTCCTGGTAGCCACTAGAATCCACAAAGAGGTCTGGGGAAGATGCATGTTCATGGAAGCAATTCAGCAACACATAACTGAACAGGACAGAGGGAAGGAGAAAGTTTGCACCTTTAACACTTATCCATCAGACCTCCCACTAGAAAAGCGATGACTTGGGAAATCAGAAAGATCTCTCCAACAATGCACAGCTGTGTAGTGTTCATGTTTTCTATAACTGCCCCAGCCATACTTGACCCCCTTCGCCAGCAAAACTGAAGGCTTGAAAAGTGCTGTGTAGATGCAGTTGGGCTGGTAAACACTATATCCACACTAAGAGTGCTTTGCAAGCTCAGCATACTGGGATAGCTGTACAGGCAATGTGCTCTTAGTGCATATCTGGCGATAGAAGTTGGAGATGGAAGGGCTATCAGATCCACAGGCTGGGGCTAGTGTAGGATTGTCCCCTACAATATATACTTCAGGCAATTTTAAAGTGACATTGAATCTGGAAGAACATGCAAGCAAACCTACAGGCAACTGTAAGAACACAAGGCCAGGGGACCCATAGGGGGCATTTAGATTTCTGTACTGTATTTAGCCTATCAAGGCTCCCATTTGTTATAGGAGTACTCTGTATGCATATTAGAGCTAGGAGATTTCAGAAACATGGCCTGTTTCATACTGGAAGAATCCTTGAGCTTTCCAAAGGTTTTGTGAAAATTATGAGAGCACGAGCCAGGGCCCAGAGTAGCCTGGTGGTCAGGACACTCTCCTGGGATGGTGGAAATCCAGGCTCAGATCCCTGCTCTTCCTAATTCAGATCAGGGACTTGAACTTGGTTCTCCCATATCCCAAGTGGGATACAGAGTCCGTCTCTCTCAGTGAATGCTTACGTTATTTATACCAAGTGGAACAGCTCCAGCAGGAAAGGCAGAGAGACCCAGCCCAGAACGGCAGCAGCCTGGGGAGCAGGGCATTTACCTTCACTGTGGGAGAATGGCAGAGTAGGGACACACATTTGACTCTCCCATGTCAGAGGTGAATGCTCTCACCCCCAGGTTACTGGCTATTCTGGGGGTCTCATTCTCTGGTTTTGACCAGAAATTTCTGGGCCTGAGAAACCTTCCTGATGACCGTTTAATCCAAACGGATACGCTCCCATCAAAAGTGTTTGTTTCGACAAAACATTTCCAACGAAGAACCCTTTTATTGAAAAGTTCCTGAATACATATGGTACCAGTAGATGCACTCAAGAATATGCTGAATAGTTTCTGGGTTTTGTAGGCCTGATAAAACTTCTTGTGCACTGCAAATAGCTTCCTCTAGATTTTAAACTGATGTAAAATGCAGTCAGTTTCATGCCCCATACCTATCCTCTACCAATTTTTGTGGTTTTACAGTCACCTTTTCCTACTCAAAAAAGGGTTTCTCTGTCCTGCTGCTGTGTGTAAGAACCACACAAACAACAGGGGAAATAGACTATATGGGGGGGTGGAGGGTGGAAATAAACAAGCTGAAACAAACAAAAAAAACCACACACAGTATTCTTAGATGTTCCATATCAGACTAAGTAAAACAATTGTCCAGACATGACTGTAATTAAATTGATACTCTCTCTTTAACCATCCCTGCTTTTCTGGACCACCTCTGCAGTGTCAATAACCTGTCTGAATGTGCGTGCCCTAATCTTCAGAGAAGGGAAGCAAATGCAAACTGCATCAGTTTCTATCTAATGCAACCTAGCCAGCAGTTTAAATCAGCTTCACAAACAGCCATAAGAGACTTTTTAGTTGGTCTTTGTTTTTAAATGTTAATTGCAAACATCTGTTAGATAAATGACATGGCCTGTAATAAGCCAAGTGTCTAAAACTTTGTTCTACAGTTAGCACGGTCTCCCATTAAGCCACTCATTGTCATGCAACATGCTCTCCGCAGTCTTTTTTAGCTGGATAAATGGATATTCTCAGCTCTCTTCGCATCTGTCACTCTTGTTAAATATATGCTCCCAGTTTATTTTTCATAATCAAATAGTCTTTATTTTTAATGGTTTGATGCCTCGTTTCGGTATTCTACCTAATCCATTATCCCGGTTTTCCATTTAATCCTAATGCATAAAGTCATGCGGCCCCTTTCATTGCACTATAAATACAACAGAAACATTTTCTCGTCAAGAAAGTGTTCCCCACTGTTGGCAGTGGATAGAGTGAAGAGTGATTGTTAAGAGTGTTATTTTATGGGCACTAGCTTAATACTGTTTCATCAACAAAGTGCAGAAGTTACAAAGGAGGTTTGATTAAAGGTTGCCAAAAAGCATCACTGTAATTTCACATTCTATCACAGGCAGGGGTGCAGAGGGGGAGCTGGGCCTCACCCTGCCTTTTTTGAGCACCCAGGATTCCCACTGAAGACAAGGGAAGTCTGGGTGCATCAGAAATGCAGGGTTGGGTTCCTATAATGAATGTGGGCCAGATGTAGGGTACCCCAGATGCCTGCAACTCATTGTAGTGGTGCATTAGTGTACAGCTAGTTTTGTAAATTAAGTCCCACTACGAATGTGGTGAACTGCACCTAGAATTGTGACAAAACTCAAGGTCTGTGGGATCAAGACAGATAAGTAAAATGTACAAAGCCTGCTTGGAAGCATAATGGCTACTGCTCATGGCGTAAGTGCAAACAAGACTCCCCCTCCTTTCCAGGTGCTTCCAGAAGCTCAAGTCTCACAGCACAGTTCATGCCTCCTGCTGTCTTGCCGGTCTTGAAGAAACTATGGCCTCACGTCTGAAGCTACGTTAACATTTAAAATGCTACAGTGGCACAACTGCAGAGCCACCGCTGAACTGCTCCAGCACTACAGGGTAGCCCCTCACTACACCGACAGGAAGGGTTCTCCAGTTGCTGCAGTTAATCCACATCCCCGAGTGGTGGTAGCAAGATTGACAGAAGACAACTTCCAGTGACCCAGCTGCACTGGGGGTTAGGTTGACTTAACTACATCTCAGAGGTGTGGATTTTTTCACACCCTTGAGAGATGTAGCTATGCCGATGGAAGTTTCCAGCATAAACCAGTCCTAGCTGACACTATGCCATGAAGTACCCTAAGAAATTTCAATACAGAAGTTTGTACCCTGGTGCTAGTCATTCCTATATAGCCTGTTAATTAGGATAGTGTTAAAACTACTTTACCTTCGTCTGTTGAATAAAGGTGGCAGCATGTACGTAGAAAGCTCTGCAGATTTGCTTGCTTTTTTAAAGTGATCATAGAGCAGCACTCTTGCTCATGCTCTGTGCTGTTTGATGGCATAGGAAGGGTTCAGAACAGCGAATGTGAGACTGAAATCATGTAACATGAGCATGGTGCCTCTCTGTGTTTAGAAATGCTCTCCCTGCGGCACAATCACTGTAACAGCCAAGTACCTCCTGCAAGTAAAACTGCCAAGGGCACTTCATGCTTCATTTCCTGCTGTCAAGGAGCAGGCTTGGGAGTGTTTGGGGACACTAGTATGAAAGGGAGGGTACTATTGCAAGAAAGCCTAATCAGGGAGGTAGGTTTTGGTTTTAGCTCTGAACACTTTCCGACCAAGGGAACTCACTCTTTTTGACAGTTTCCCATAAGTTCAACAGTCCGTTCAAATTGTTTCACTGAATACATTAGCTTTCCCTTCACAGAACACCCCTTGGCAGATGTACATGCCAAACTAGTTAGGAAAGTCGGTTTGAAGTACAAGGAAACAGAAGGGGAATTCCAGTTAGCTGTAGGGTCCAATGCCAAATACCTGTGATATTGAGACCAGCCCCACTTCAGTTCCCATTGACTTCAAAAAGCACTGGATCTGGCCTGGTGTAAGTAAGACCTAAGTTACTTTGATAACGTAACTGCTTCTAAAGTGAGGGATTAAAGAGAGAAGGAGCTCAGCTACTGAAGTACTGCTTTTCAGCATCTCATCACATTTGAAGTGACAAGTTGCTTATGTTAGCCATCTTGCCGCATAACGAGTTATGAAAAAGAATTCCAGCTTCCAAAAAATCAGTTTTGCATTTTCATAAGAAATACAATGATTAGAAAGCCAAAAAGATATCACCAAGAACTAAGTGGCTTGGTGGGAAATTCAGGTCTCTAGTAAAGCACAGTTCTGCCCCACTGGTCTATCCACTGTAGTTCAGCAGACAAACCATAAAAAGACACCCAAAAAAGGCTACAATTTCTTCTCACTCAATGAACCAACAACAAACCCACAATATTGTATATTTTATTTAAATTAACAAAACTACATTTTTTCCAGGTTGCTTAAAGCATTTTGCAAAAAGGGAACATACAACGAACAATTTACTAAGACCCAGGGGCTATTTCTGGTGTGCAAGTGGCAGTTAGTAGTTTAGCAAATATAAAGAGATATCTACACCACAGCAGACTTGTTAGTGTTGGACACACGAGATTTGGTTTTGAAGCTGCAATGAGTCTTTTGTAAATCAATCTTTACAACATGCAATGTTACACTATACTATAAAAGAAATCAGGATGAATTTATTCTAGGTACATAGATATTAGATAAAAAACTAAAGTTAAAGTAGGTTAAGGTTGCAGAGTCAAGCTCTCAAAAGTTGTGAAATGCCAGAATTGAGAATGGAAGTGCTCTGCCCCCTTGGGAATGTGTGTGTTATGTTACAGTCTTTAATTATATGCTTATCTATATTTTCTCCAGAGGACCCCTGTCTCATTATGTGAGCATATATTTATTCAATATCTTCTTTTATTCTCCTCAGTGTGGGTCCAGGCTCTATTTGACAAAACCCATCCAAACTCTGCACTGGATACAAAATTAATAATTTCCTCCTAGGGCTCTCAGAGTGCTTCAAACATTAATACATTCACACACACACACCCCTCTCACAGAGGTGGCATTTACCCATTTACGGATGGGGAACTGAGGCACAGAAATTATGGAGAAAATTGTCAAAGTTCCATTAATTTTTGGTACCGAATTTGAGAAGCCCAGAGCCTTGTTTTTAGGAGATTTAGCATTTTCATAGCACTTTACAATCTATGCTCAAAGCAGAGCACCACTCGATTTCAGTTGGAGCACTTAGCACTTCTGAAAATTCGGTCCTAGGTATCTCAAGGTGAGCAGCCGGAAACTGAAACACACACATTTAGTGATGGGGATGCTACAGACAGCAGTGTCCTTCACTACACATCCCTGACTTATCCCCACAGCAGGTCCATCATCTGCACTGGATAAGGCAGAGGGGGCCTATGGGGAGCAGGAAATAGTGCGAGATCATTAATTAAAAAATATATCATAATGTATATGTCCAAGAGAGTCATATTAAGGTTACACAGGCAAGCTTAATACTGGCATTTCCTGACTGAGTGCTTGACTTTGCAACCTTAGCAATACTGTAGTTTGTGTGTGATTTACCAGGCTTTTTTAAAAAAAAAAAAAAAAAAAAAAAAAAAAAAAAAAGCCAACTGAAAATGATTGTGCCCTCCTCCGTCCATGGCAACTGGGAGCTGCAGGGTGACCATATTTCCCAAAGAGAAAATGGGACACCCCAGCCATTTGTCCGAAGTGACCCCCCTCTCCTCATGCAAGGCTGTCACTTGTCACTGGAACCCTGCCAGGGCCCCACTGCCTGTCAGCTCCAGAGTCCTGCAGCCCCTTGGGCTGAAGCAGAGAATGTCTCAGAGGTCTCTGGAAGTCACGGATTCTGTGACTTCCATGACCTCAGTGACAAACAGACTTATTATGCATGAGTCATCAGCAGATTTGGAACCTTTAGATTCACAGCACAAACCTCTATTACTTGAGCAATGGATAGCAGTTGACTGTCATCCTCTGCATGGACCAAGCTCTACAGAGGGATGAGACACAAACTTTGCCAGGAGTTTCAAAAGATATTTGCGGACAGCAGAAATAAGAGACTCAGGAATTCATCTTAAGCTCTGGAATAGCATGCACTCGAGTGGGCACAGACCCTTCTGCCCATCTCTCTCAGCCTCTCCCCTTCTGCCCCAGTCCCCTCCAACCCATGCCTGTCTTAGTTTTCCTCTCTTGCTCACCACAGCTCTAGCTCTTCCTCCTACTCTCCCACACACCCCCAATCCACATGGATCCTAGTCCACTCCCTCTCCCTCCAGGTCTGGATCATCCCCTCTGCATTTGAAATCAGGCTGTTTCCTCCTCCACACTGCCTGGGCATTAGCAGGGAGAACACAGGACTTAATACGGTGTGCAGCACTACGGCATCCTGCAGCAGCCAAGAGCAGCAATTGCAGGGAAAGTCCTGCTCAACTGTGCAGTCTTCTGCAGGACATTGCCAGAGCTAAACTCCCCAGAGAGTCTAAGAACTGGTTAGGAAGTTTGGCCAAGTTACTAGACACTGAAAAACACTGGTTCTCACATGTTCAGTGCCGATTTGGCAGCTAAGTTCTCCAGACATTCCATCTCTGCTGAGTATGTTCCATGCTAGTGCTGCAGGCATCGAGTAGGAGTTGCCCTGCAACTGCTCCTCCCAGCTGCTGCAGGATCCTGTGCCCAGTGCCACAGCAACAGAGGAGGGAGAAAGTCTCTCCTGTGTCCTCAGTGCTCCCTCTCCTGACACCCAGGCATCATGGATGAGAAAGAGCCATCACTGGAATGCAGAGGAATGAGAAATGGAGGAAGGAGGGGTGGGGAGAGAAGGGGGTTCAGGAGCCCAATGGGTGTGGGGCAGATAGGAGGATACAAAAAAGTTGCGGGACACAAGGGCAGAAAGGTCTATAACCACTGGAGTATACTCCCCTCCAGGACTTGGAAAAGAATCCAGGAGTCCAGAGTTTCTACATTCCTCTGTCAGCAAATAGCTGTGAAACCTACTAGTAAAGTGTGCATCTCTCCCGTCTTTAGTGCCTAGTTCACACATCAGGTAACAGCCTACTACTGCTACCAGTCACTGTTAGCTTAAGTGGCAGAGGTCTGTGCTACAGACCTAAAGGTTTGAACCCTGCTAGTGACCCAACTGGGGGAAAGGGTGTCAATATGGTTAGATACAGAATATAATTTTGTGTTTTCTGTGTGTTTATGAGGAAATTGCACACCAAAGAAAACAAAATACTAAATACCTCCTCTTAAGTGAGCACTGTCCATTTTGTGCATTAATGAGGCAGGAGTCCTGTGTAAAAACCCCGGTAATTAAAGACTATCATCCTGCATACACACAAGTATTCAAATTAAGGTTCCACAGGCAACATTAATCCTGGCTTTTAACTCTTGAAGGTTTCACTTTGCACCCTTAGTGTTCATTTAGCGTGTCTACGTAAAATATAGACTACATATCCTGCCCTCCCCCAGAGATAATATACCATATTAAAGAGAGTTTACAGAGGTTCTATTTTAGTGCCACTGCTCAGTGAACACACTATAAATACTGGGCTTTTGTAGAGTTACTTCTGATGTGTCCTCAAGGAGGCTGTTGTCTCAATCTGTGTATTGTACTTCATTGTGTTTGTCCCAAGTGAGGTGTTCCAGGAGTTACTCCTGAGCCTCCTTGCGAGCCAGCTTATAAATCTCGGTTGGCCCGTCCACATGGGTGATGGTGGTGGTGAGCTGAAGCTCCTCCCCACTACTTACTCCCAGGTCACCTGAAATACAAAGCTACATTTCAGCTTGATGCACAAAGAAGGACCTGGGAACTAGAGAGTGACTGCCAGGTTAAATTTCCCTAGAGTTTGGGTTTTGGAAAGAATAAGCTTTTCTAAAACTGAGGACTACGAAGGGTTTCCATGTAGTCAGATTCATTTGAAGAGAAGAATGTTCCCTTGCAGTGGTTTCAGTCCAAAACAAACAAACACTGTTACATGAGCTAATGATGAAGAGCCACTGTGTTACTGAAAGATATTCCAAGGAAACCAACTGTAAACTCAGTAAACAAACTATTTAGTTCCATTCCTCAGTCTTGTCTTTCACTTCCTCCACCACAGCTACACAATGCTGTCCCCAGGCTATTTCAAGTTAGTATTCATATGCAATTAAGAGCCACACCAAAGCCCAGTTTACCATTTGATTGATCTTCACCATAATTCTTGTGTGATGGAGCATATAGGAACATAAGAGCAAAGACGTAAAGGTTCCACATCCCGTAGATGCCAGTGAAGAAGGCACTGTTCACTTGTATTGTGAAGTCCCCCCATTTCCAATGGCCTTCAGTCACCTGTCCACGAGAAAGCAGAGATTCAATAGGGACAGATAGGTAAAGAGAATTCTCCTATAATGAGCAAGCACCTACAAAGCAAATATGTTTCTAAGAGCAGCTACATAGAAATCTGAAATTAAGACAGAATGAAGTACATGGACAATTCATGTCCAGACAAACACATCAAAGTAAAGCCTATACTAAAAAGTCTCTTCCCCTGCCACTAGTCTATAAGGAATGGCACATGCAACAACATTCATATTAGAAACTTTATTCATCTTTGGTTTTTTAAAAACTAACAAAATTTAATCTCAGAACATTCAAGTTAGATCATTCCAGTCATTCAAGACTTTAGTGAGAGGATAATCATATTCAAGCAGTACCTGGGAGACTAGCTATGTCTGAAAACTTTAGAGGGTCTATAAATAAACCTTTTATAGAAGAAAACAGCATGAATAATGCAAAGATCTAATGGCATCCAACATGTCTCACTGCTTCTGTCTTACGGCAGAGACCTATGCCTGATAGCACTAGTTCCAGATATAAAGAGAAAGACAGGAGACTCTATGGAGAGTTAAGAAAACAGTAATTTAATATTAATCTTTTGAAAACAATGAAATGCATGAGCTGTGCACCTTAAGACTGCCTTCCATTTTAAAGCCAAATGAACAAGCCATTTGGGGCCATACCCTACCATTGACTTTAAAGCAGAATTCCCCATAGAAAACAAGGGTGCTCTGCTTTAAAGAAAGAAAGACAGTGGCAGAACAGAGTCTTTAAACAAACAAAAATACCAAACTTGATGCAAGTAACCAGACAAAATGATTTGCCAGATTTGAGGTAGACCTTCAAGCCAACTGCTTCAATTGAACAGATTTTTAGATCAGAGTTATCTTACCATGCCAATCAAACTACGGCATTGTTTTCATATGCAAAGGGAACACAGAGACTAGATTCTCTAACATAGTATGTCTGAGGGTACTTCTGTGCATGACTCAACAGTAGTAGTAAAACTGGCAAGAAAATAAAATCCCTTTGTGTGAAAAAATTTCACCTTTTTGAAAAAGTTTTCATCACAAGCAGAGATGAAACATCCAAAATTTTTTTCACAGGGAAGGATTTCAAGAAAAACTCCATTTTGCTTCTCCCAAAACCGAATCTTTCAGCTGCCCATCATCAGTTTTGCTTTCTGCCTGCAGTGAAGCTGACCCGCTCCTCCCAATTCCTGCAGCCAAAGAACTGGGGCTCTCAGTCCCCCCCCACCCCAGTGCCTAGCTGGGGAGATGTCTTTTCAATTTCACCTACAGAAAAGAAGCCCCCCCCAAGCAAAACTGAAATTGTCCTACAACTGACATTTTCCTTGGGAAAAGAGCATTACTCTTTAGAAAATTCAGACGAAAAAGTTTCAGAACAGATCTACTTTCAAAGTAGAAAGGAGTTTGACTATTTTATAACTTGTAAGGGTGTATCCATTGTATTTCTTCAACTAAAGCCTGCATGTTTATGTACAATTGCGATTGCCGCCTTACACCTGAGGCCAATAAAACATCTTAACAATGGAAAGTCATCTTGGGAGGCTGTAGTCCTGGGAACTGGTCAGGAGAGTGAAGGGGTTTATTCTCAGAAGAATATTGTGGGGTAGACCTTCAAGAGGGTGCATGGTGTTTTACCTGTGCAACTTAAAACATAGCCGAATACCCTATAGTTTTATTATACTTATATATCTAGATCTATAGGCTAAATCCACGTTCAGAGGGAAGAGAGCACACTCTCGCTTTCTCGTCTCTCCTCCCCCTCCCCAAAAAAACAAACAGTTAGAGCATTTAAGACTACAAAATCAAGCACTCAAAAGTTAAACACCAGAATTAAAAAAAATCACAGACACACACACCCCAGACAAGTTCATGGAGGACAGGTCCATCAACGGCTATTAGACAGGATGGGCAGAGATGGTGTTCCTAGACTGTTGGCTAGAAGCTAGGAATGGGCAATATGGGGGTGGATCACTTGATTACCTGTTCTGTTCATTCCCTCTGGGGCATCTGGCATTGGCCACTGTCAGAAGACAGGGTACTGGACCAGATGGACCACTGGTCTGACCCAGTATGGCTGTTCTTCCAATTAAGGTTTCCTATGCAACCTCAATTCGGCCCCCTTGTGAACATGTATTATGACACAGTCTGTAATTGCATCCTCACATATTAGAGAGATTTTCAAAGAAAAAGGTCACCAGAATTTTTTTTTTAAACATGGAAACCCGGCCCCACCACACCACCACTACCTTCATATTGCAAATGGTTAAACTATTTTTCCTCAAATCTGGGGGCGGGGGGGGGAAGCTGTCCTGAGGCAGGTGTCAGAGTAGCAGCCGTGTTAGTCTGTATCTGCAAAAAGAAAAGGAGTACTGTGGCACCTTAGAGACTAACACATTTATTTGAGCATAAACTTTCGTGAGCTACAGCTCACTTCATCGGATGCATTCAGTGGAAAATACAGTGGGGAGATTTATATACACAGAACATGAAACAATGGGTGTTACCATACACACTGTAACGAGAGTGATCAGGTAAGGTGAGCTATTACCAGCAGGAGAGCGGGGGTGGGACTTTTGTAGTGATAATCAAGGTGGGCCATTTCCAGCAGTTGACAACAACGTCTGAGGAACAGTGGGGGCAGGGCAGCGGGCGCAAAGTGGGGGAATAAATATGGGGAAATAGTTTTACTTTGTGTAATGACCCATCCACTCCCACTCTTTATTCAAGCCTAAGTTAAATGTATCCAGTTTGCAAATTAATTCCAATTCAGCAGTCTCTCATTGGAGTCTGTTTTTGAAGTTTTTTTGTTGAAGAATTGCCACTTTTAGGTCTGTAATCGAGTGACCAGAGAGATTGAAGTGTTCTCCAACTGGTTTTTGAATGTTATAATTCTGGATGTCTGATTTGTGTCCATTTATTCTTTTACTTGGAGACTGTCCAGTTTGGCCAACGAACATGGCAGAGGGGCATTGTTGGCACATGATGGCATATATCACATTGGTAGATGTGCAGGTGAACGAGACTCTGATAGTGTGGCTGATGTGATTAGGCCCTATGATGGTGTCCCCTGAATAGATATGTGGACACAGTTGGCAACGGGCTTTGTTGCAAGGATAGGTTCCTGGGTTAGTGGTTCTGTTGTGTGATGTGTGGCTGCTGGTGAGTATTTGCTTCAGGTTGGGGGGCTGTCTGTAAGCAAGGACTGGCCTGTCTCCCAAGATCTGTGAGAGTGATGGGTCGTCCTTCAGGATAGGTTGTAGATCCTTGATGATGCGTTGGAGAGGTTTTAGTTGGGGGCTGAAGGTGACAGCTAGTGGTGTTCTGTTATTTTCTTTGTTGGGCCTGTCCTGTAGTAGGTAACTTCTGGGTACTCTTCTGGCTCTGTTCCTCAGACGTTCTTGTCAACAGCTGGAAATGGCCCACCTTGATCATCACTACAAAAGGTTCCCCCCGCCCTGCTCTCCTGTTGGTAAATGCTCACCTTACCTGATCACTCTCGTTACAGTGTGTGTGGTAACACCCATTGTTTCATGTTCTCTGTGTATATAAATCTCCCCACTGTATTTTCCACTGAATGCATCCGATGAAGTGAGCTGTAGCTCACGAAAGGTGATGCTCAAATAAATGTGTTAGTCTCTAAGGTGCCACAAGTACTCCTTTTCTTTTTGTCCTGAGGCAGACACTCAGTATGAAAAATTTCAACCCAAACAGTTAACTTTTTGGCAAACTTAAACAACTGACAACAGGGTCTTATAATGGGAAAGATCAGGCAGCCTTAATAATAAGCAGACACTACCAGCCCAGCTTACAATCTATGCATTCCTGTGTCCTCTGTACTAGGATATAACCAATATGTTGGCTACTTAGGAATTTGGATACTGCACTCTCTCATACCCAGTTTGGTTTCAGCACACTCACCTGACTGACAATGAAGAAGATGATAGTCATTGCTGCACAGGCCAGAGTGATGAGCATCAAGAACTTGAACCTAAAAATCAGCCCCTATTTAGAGAGAGGACACTGGTCATAGTAACGGAACAGACAATCCCATTTCAATTTTTGGCTTCTACAAGATGGAAGTTGGAAAAAAGATTAGTCCAAAACCACAAAACCCACAACCACCCACTCGCTCCTTTGTCCTACACTGGTGACAGCCAGTATTCTCTGTTCCCCACACGTCTGCATTCCTGCCAGTTACATTGTGTGGGGTGTAGAGGTCTTGACTGCTACTGCTTTCCATTACATTTGCTCCTGTGAAATTAAACGGATTTACTTAGTGCTAATGTGAAGGAAACACTTGAGTTTAAGCAACAAGGTTTCATTAAATTAACAGCACGTTTGATAGTCTGTGGCTTCCTTGATAAATCAGATATGCTTTCTTTCTAGAACATATATCTGTGATGAGGGTTTGTTAGGTTATACCAGGAGTGATCTACTTTACAAATGTTTTCTGTTTCTGTAAGTGTAACGAGTTCATGTGAGGAGAGTGCAAACTTTCCTTATCTAATTTTCTTTGGCCGAGAATTTAAGGAGACTAAATGAATGTTGGGTTGTAGATTAAAGACATCAAACAAATGACATAAATTTATATGGTTTGGGGGGGCTTATCACAGACTTTGTTTGCTTTTTTAAATCTGTTTTGAATTTAACAAAGACAGATTTTAGTTATGTTAGTTTTGAATCACACTGACTCGGGCACCTTGGGGGAGTGAGGACATTTTACAAGTTAGTTTGTGCACAGCTGCTATTGTGCAGCAGGTGGGCTGAGGTGGCAAGACTGAAGGCCTCAGGGCAAGGACTGTCTTTTTGTTAAGCGTTTGCACAGTGCCTAGAGCAGTGGAGCCCTAAGCTCTATTGCAACACAAATTCATAATACCGGTGCCATGCTTTTAACTCAAGGAAAAAGATGAAAGAAGAGCTAAGACTTTGGGGAAATGTCTGCAAAAATCCAGATTTTCTTATTGGAACAAGTAATGTACCTTTTAATGAGTCACAAACAACCTGATTAGACACAGAATTTGACTCATCAGACCATTGTCTACCCAAGTTTTATGGACACAAATCTTTATCACCAAGACAACAACAGGCATTCTTGGCTTGACTGCAACTCTATCTTGGCTCCTTCTTCTGCTCCGCAACAGCAATTAAAGAGGAATGAGTACAGCTCTGACCAGAGGCCAGCATGGCCTAAGGAGAGGATGGCAAACCAGGAACTCTGGATTTTTAATCCTGTTCCGATGCAGACTCTCTTGAGTGGTTTGGGCAAGTCACATGAGCACCCTGCATCATTTTCCTCATCTGTAATAATAGTGCTTTACATCAGTAGATCTCAAAAGGTTTTACCACCTGGCCACACCACTCTGAAGAGAAACACAGAGTGGATTGGGAGTAAATGCCTACGAGTACATTGGGCAGATTAGTGTTTGTCAAGTACTTTGAAGACTGAAAGCATTAGGTGGGGGCTAAACATCAGAACGAAGAAAAGTTGCCTGCCTTTTTGTGAACTGACATTAGGATGGTTTTGGCAGCATGAGAAAGCTGGTAAAATACGAAGTTTTCTAAATGATGGAAAAAAAGCTAATGAGGGTGGATACAGTTTTTCTGGTAGATTATCAGTAGCCTTTTTGGAATACTAAAGCAATGAGCGCATGAACATGCACACCTTTAATCCAACAAGGGTTTTCTAACCTCATAATGAAGCCTGCGAGCCTTGCTCATTGCTGGGAGGCTGGATTGTTTCCCACTAATGTTTCTGAACACTTGAAACACCATGAAACACAAAAACAGGAAGTAGAGGCAAAGGCAGATTCCTGCAACTATAATAAATGCCATCTGAGCAGTAAAGTTAAAGGAAACAGCTACTTGACAAAGCAGGAGATTGAAGAAAATATTATCCAGGTAATTAGAACTTTACAAAAGTAAACTAATTATTGCAATAATCCTAATTCAGGCTTCTAGTATGTATTAAATAGAAGCTTCTGTCTGAGTGCTTCACGGTCCCTTCCCCAGCTCAGTCCCAGAGCCAACGCTCCGGTTGTTCCCCACACATTTAACATGGTGTTAACGAGGGATAAAATATTAAAACTCCTGCAGGCTAAAAAGGCTAAGCTGGAACTGTCACTTCTGCTCCGCTGGTATAAAGAGACAAGGCTTAGCAGAGAAGACGAGAAGTAATAACCAACCAACATGCGATCTAGCAGACTCCTGTAAGAGGACTGGGATGCTGAGGAAGTGAAACTAATCACATTACCTTATCTTAGCCTGGTAATAAAAATTAAATGCAGCTAAAAGCACTTCCAGCCTGACCAGGCAAATTTAAAAAGCAATTTGTATAAATGCTGTAGGACCACGCTTCCAAGTGTCAGCAATTAAATGAACTGCCCCAGAGAAAAACAGCTCTAGTTCAGACCAGGAGAAGAAACAGCACGAAGGGTGCAGTTTAGACAGGGTTCAGAGAGAACAGGATTTTTTCTAGAATCACTAACTCAAGATGTGCCATTTCCTAGACTTTCTGCAGTTTGAGGCAGATGCTAATTTTTCTAATAATTTCCATTATCTCAATACTAATCTCAGAATTCATTCTTGCAGCAAAATCTACAGGCTGCACTAGTATTTTATAGCAGTGTCCCCCTATAGAGCCATAAAGTTGTTCATTCAAAGGCAACTCTGGATCTTCTACTATATTCGAGTCAGAAACCAATTTCCTAGTCCCATTTTACCAAAGCGAACAGGCTTTTCATCAGGTTCCATAAGTACTTTGAGAAAGTGAAATTTTTAGTTACTAAAATGTATTTCTCACTCCAAAAACCTAACACAAAATAAATGCTACTGCATAAAAACAGATAGAAGGATACAGCCAGCTCCGTGCCAACATCTGTGGTCCAGATACTGTAGAATGGATTTTTCAGTTGTACCCCTCTAAAAATAGGAGAGAATTCAGGGCAATCAGAATTCACGTGCAAAGAGTCAAAGATACAGTAAAATACACATTTCTATACAGCTAACTTAACAGTTTGGAAAAATGAGTAATGTTATTTTGCAGTTTGGGAGTGTATATGGGGAGGTGGGTGGGGAAACTTCAGTTTACATTCCAGTGGATGCATAATCTTACAAAAACTGTTCCAACACAACTTCACGGTACTATAAAAGCCAAAGGAAAAGACTTCTTGTCTCTTTGCAAGAAAAATGGTGAAGCAAATGGTTGGACAGTTGCGGTCAGCATTGGGGGGGGGGGAGGGGTGTCCAAAAGTGACTTGTATCAGCTATGCAAGTCATAGCATTTTTAAAATATGCATTGTTTATGGTGTCAAGCACACTGGCTGAGAAGGAATTCTTGTCACTTGCACAGTATTAAACCTCCTTTTCAATTATGCAGAATTATAACGATTCCACATTGCTTCAAAAAAGCGTTCGTTGGAAATGGATAGGGTACAGCTAATAAAAATCTTCCTCATGTAAGTGTTAAGACAGGAAAAAGGGATGAACCTTTCATATACAACAATATAAGAGACTGGGCTAACTTTTATGTCTTGATGACATGTACCAATGAAGCGATACTGTAAGGAATTGTATTTTAGCCCACAATGGGTACAGAGCTGGATAAGAGCCTCATTTAAAAAAAAAAAAAGACAGGACTAGGTCTACTGCATTTTCATCCGGAAGCTCACTCACTGTTCCAATGCAGCTTTCTGAGATTACTCAATATACCCTTTGACCTACAAGTCAAAAAAAATTTTTTTTGTCCTGTGACAGGTAATATTTCCATGCTTTGTGAATTTATGTGTAGGCAGGCAAAGAGCTATCTTTTATCTCTTTCTCTCACTTTCAGTCATTTTCCAGTAAGAAGTCTACTTTTAAGTAATGCAATCTAATCTGGAAGGGAAAACTTAAACTGGGGAAATTGCTACTGGGATGTCTAAGAAATTGAACTCTGGGCCTGGAGGAAATTGAGTTATAAGAGGGCTAATGACTTGAATACCTAGCCTGAGGAAAAGGGACTTGCCATTCCTTTCCCCAAGGAGCACAGAAAGGTGGCTGGTGAATACCAGTGTTGGCATGAGGAGACCCAAATGGCCTGAAGAGTGCGAAGCCTTTGTACCAACTTTTCAATCCTTGTCTCAATAAAGCTATTAGAAAAAGGCAAACCAACATGGACTCAGTGTAAAGATCAATTGTATCCCCCTGTAAAATTGTATGCCCCTGTAAAAAGAGGGCAGCACCTGAGATCAGAGCACAATTGTATTATCACTACAGAGTGTAAGAGAAAAAAAAGTCTCCCTTACCTCTCGCACATGTCAAAGATGAAAAGGCAGAAGGCACCAACAGCTATGGGCCCAACCTGTTTCCAGTACCCAGAAAAACGATTTCGTTCATTTTGATCCTAATGAATCAAGCCATGATAAAAAAAAGTTAATTTATGGAAGGGGGGAAAAAAAGTGACTGAATTATGCACGCACAGTGAGGCTGATAGCAAAGGACATTCCTAAGTCAAGAAAGAGGTTACTTACTAGGTGCTGTTTTGTGTCAGCTCTGTGCATATCCATGGTGGGATATGGCATCTCAGATTTCGAGCTGCATAACTTCACGGGGAAGCCATGTTCATTGGAGGATACATGAAAGAGCTTGTGAGAGCGAGACATCATTGCCCTATCCCAGAGGTGGGCAAACAATGGCCCAGGGGCCGGATCCAGCCCGTCAGGGCTTTGGATCCAGCCCGCAAGATTATCACCCCCATGGTGCTGTGGTCCCCACGTCCCTGCTGGAAGCTGCCGGCACCACGTCCCTGAGGCCCCTTGGGAGGTGGGGTAGAGGGCTCTGTGCACTGCCCTCACGTCCCCCACAGCTCCCATTGGTTGGGAACAGGAAACTGTAGCCATTGGGAGTTTCGGGGGAGGTATCCACAGGGGAGGGCAGTGCGCGGAGCTCTCTGCCCCCCACCCCCACCACAGCAGCCGCAGGAATGTGGTGCCAGCCGCTTCTGGGAGTGGCACGGGGCCAGGGCAGGCATGGAGACTGTCTTAGCCCTGCTGCGTGCCACTGCCACCCCAGAATCATTCCAAGTAAGCGGCACCCCGCAGCCCAACCCCCTGCCCTGAGCCCCCTTGTACACCCCAACCCCTGCCCTGAGCCCCCTTGTACACCCCAACCCCTGCCGCACCCCTCCTGCATCCCTGCCCTAAGCCCCCTGCCCCGAGCCCCTTCCTGCACACCGCACCCCAACCCCCTGCCCTATATTCATGGCCCTGCATGCAATTTCCCCACACTGATGGGGCCCTCGGGCCAAAACCTTTGCCCACCCCTGCCCTGCCCTACCCTAATATGGGAATGCAGTCCCGCCCCCCAAACAACTGCCTCTGTTCCTTCTCCCAAACCACACAGTCCTGATGTCATACAGACTTCTGAGTAGAGGGGAAGGTGGGCAAGTAGTGAGAATGCACAGAGGTGACTCCCAAAGAAGAATTACTGATAAGTAACCTCTCAGCTTTGAGGGCATCTGTACATTTCTATTTGTGGGAAATTAACAAGCAGCATGTCCATCCGGAGGAAAGTAGGTGAGGAGTTCTGCTTAAACTTAGGACTTGTCTATGTGGTACATTAACAGGCAGTAGGGATCTTTAAGTGCCCATTAGAAGCGTCCACATGGGCCAGTTAGTGTGTGACATGCTGGTGTGATTTAGAATTTACACCCCATTTAGCCAAGCCCATAGACTAACACTGTTCTGCCAGTCTGGGCACTGGAGCACTATGCGATTTCCAAGGAAGAGATCTGATGAAAAATGTGCACAACACTCCAAATTGTTGCTTTGCAAACATTTAGTTTCCACCGGGGAGCTTGTCTAAAGCAACCACTGATGCTGCATTTGCTCTTGGGGAGAGGGTTTTTAAAGCAGGAGATGCTCGTTTCCTAGCTAAGATGTATACATCTAAACCAGCGTGAAAGTCTGGTTGGTAACAGTTTCTCCCTAGCATTTATTCACATATGCTACAAACAACTTATCGGATTTCTAAAGGGAACAAGATACTCTTTACTCTATAGTCACACCCACCATCATATGCTCTCCACAAAAGATTATCCAAAATGACAGAAGCATGGCATAGAAGATTCCTTGTCGAATATCTCCAAAGAGCAACATCCAAGTCCAGTCAAATCCAATGGAAAACCACTCTACTGGGATGTTTATGAACGTCATGGAAATCCCAAGAGCAAAGATTACCCTGGAGAAGCAGACAGAACAGAATCCCTTTCTATTTCAAAGAAAGGACCAGGAGGACTAAGTCAAAGGAGCTCAAACTTCATGAAGAAGTAGAGGTTTCCTCCTTTTTGCCACGATACTTTCCTGTTGGCCCACCCACATAGCAGTATTGTTATCCTGTCTCCACAGAGACACCCTTAACGAAGGGTGACTCAGTAACTGGCAAGAAATGTATCTATTTCAAACAAAGCTCATGCTTAGGAGTTAAAATGGAAAACCAGTTGCTGTTTTCAAAGGACTGGTTGGGCAGTCAAATTCTTATGGTGCTAATCCTACACATGCACCCACAGGCAGAGGGGACCCTGATGCAGCAGCCTAGGGCATTTCTGCCACATTAGGAGATCAGAATTTGGGGAGCTGACGCAGAGGGTACAGACACTGTCTGCTACACAGCCCTGCAGGGACTTCCCGTGCATCACCAAAAAGTTTTGGGAGGCAAATTCTGTGGCTCCATGATTGCTGTGAGAGAATGGCAGAAGGGTCTAGTCACTCACACACAGGAGGAATGTATCAGCTATACAGACTATTGCAGAACAAAGACTGCAACAGAGGTTGAAGAGCAGCTCTGCTGCCACATTGGCTTGGCAAAGAGTGGGGAAGGAAGGAAATTGGATCCACAGGGATTGCAATCTAGCACATGGCCAGTTTACCCAGGCTTTGCATGAGGCATACATTTTGGCCTAAATCTTATGTGTTGTCTGGATCACAGTGAGTTACTTGTCTACTCACTTTTCCAGCAGGACAGGAGCGCGTGTCATCATCGTGATCCGTCTCCAATACCAAACCATGATGATGAAGATGCTGGGCGTGAGGAAGGTTTTCATTGCAAACCATACCTTTGTAAAACCTCCATTTTGATGGATACCCTGAGGATACAAGTTTAAATGTGGGAGCTGTACAATATTTCACTTTCCTTATTTACAGACAAGATCAGATTTGCATTATCCTGTTATAGTCACAGGGCCTGACAGAAATTCCAATAGTCTGAACTACAGCCACTTAACATTAAAGAGTATTGCTTGTGAAATGCACAGCTGAAGTGTTTGACAAAATGGAAAGAGCTGTACACCACTGTTTAATGTGTCCTGACCATTCAGTCCAAGTAGAATTTTTAGGACTCCTGATAACTAATGCAAATATTGCACCACTTCTGTTTTTATCAATTTCTGGTTATTTGGAAATCTACTATTTTAGTACTGGTGTTTAATAGGTATATTTTTTCATACAATTTAATCAATAAAAGTTGCCATGCATTTAAACAAAATTAATTTATTCAAACATGAAAATTAGTCAACTTAATATTAAATGAGGAATGGGGAGGGATGAGGACATACATGATGGTAACCCCAATAAATACTGGGAGCTAATAGGCAAATTGATCATTGCTCCAGAAATAGTTCCGATCAACAGCCAAAACAGTGAGAGCAGAGAGACCAGCTCTACTGCATTAAATGGTGGTAAACAGGAGAACCATTTTTAGGCTCTCGGCACCTTGATGGACAAAATTATCCAAGACTGAAATGGGGGATAGACAAAGACACTTGACACATTTGTTGAAATCAAAGGTGACAGGATTAAAAGAGTTTCCTCTTCAAGTGCTATTATTCTAGGTCTCCTATTTCCTCTCATCCCTTATTTCAAGTTCTATGCCTAGAGTGGCCATGTAATATGAGGCATATTTTTCCAGTTTAATTAAACTCTGATCCAAAGCCAGACTGTATGCAATAGAGAAATGTTAGTCGGGCATAGTAAAACTGCGGGCTTCTGGAGTCAATCAAGAAAGAGATTAGAATAGCAGTGAATTATCCTACAAGCGAAGTCAGCATGGTGGGAAAGGGGAGGGATAATAGCTAGAAGAGAATAGTCAAAGAAGAGATCCATTGGGAAAAGGGGCTGCACTGACAGTGGGAGTTATACAAGTTGACTGACCTTAGAAAATACGTCACTATACTCTTACTAGGGAATAGAGCAATTGTGGTTTTGTACAGAACAGAGAAATGGGAAGGAGTTTTGCCATCAGTCATGGGTTACTTTACCACAGTAAAATCATAAGCCCAATAAAGGTTGGATTCTACAGGTATCCTCCCACCTTTGACACAGCAGTGAGTCTACATTAAACACCTACTCTAGAGGAGACGGGAGCCCAGAGCAAAGATAGAAATGAAACATGCACACTTACCACCAGGCGAACATCCTTTATTTCCCCAATTCCCACATTAATTAGTTTCCTTTCATTCACAGGGAGTCGAATGTTGAGGAGGTAGAATTTGTGAGCCACAGTTCCAATTTCCATGAAAGGGAGCACATCACAATCATAGTATCGGCCTTCATGCTCTATGGTCTAGTGGAATAGCAGAGAGAGGGAAAATACAAAGGGGTCAGCTTTGTTCACTTTTATTTGGACTTCTAAGATGATAAATCGATAGTTGTAAAGCAGTAACTAGTCCTTCCAGGGGCTCTAATTTGGAGATGTACAGCATAGACTTCTTGTTTCATCACATCCCAACCTTTCCCCTTTTAGGGAACCGGGAAGTAAGTACTAATAAATATAAAAAGAAAGCAAATCCACATGGAGAAGCAGTTCATTATGTATCAACCAGTTTTCTCTGAAAATATAAATTGATGAACATATTTTAGCCCTTTTCTTCCTGAACAGTAACAATTTGCTTCAATACTATAACTACTGCCCGTTTTAATCCGTGGCCAAAAAGAAGTTCATAGGTGTCACTATGCTATATGCTATGGTTACTCAGAACTTCCTGTGGTAGCAAGGGTAGGTTACAAATCCTCTTGGTCTGGCTTTTCTTAACAGAGTTAAAGGAGACTCTCTGTTAGCAGAACAGGGCTTGATACATGGTTGAACAGTTCCAATTCCACCCAGTAGAGCCTATAGGTGCACATTCAACTAGCCAGTTAATTGCAGCATTAGTCAGTAATATCGGTACTGTTAAATTATTCCGCTTGTTTCACAGCGCAGATCACTACAATACAATCAAGTGTACTTAGGCATGTTCATTTTAAAAGTTATTTTATTGTGTAGAAGTTTTAGAATGTAAGTCATGCATTTTTAATGTTCAATTTTCATACAGAAAGACTTACAAATAAATACAGGTAGTGAATATAATAAGTAACAGAAATTGTATTTAGACCCCTAGACCTAAAGTCTGTAATTGATATTGATTGTATTAAGCATTTAGACAAAAAATGTAAGCAAGAAGTAGTTATGCAGCATCTAATATTCAAATATCAGATGCTAAGAAGGGATAATAGGTCTGTAATCAATTAACCAGCATGGTTTGTCAAACTGCCAGCAAAACCCTATTAATAGATCCATTGTTGCTTAATATTTATTAGGGTAGATTGATTTAAAAAAAACAAAACCAAAAAAAACCTATGCTTTCCACTTGGTCACTTAAATCATGCTTAAAATAATTGATTTTCATTAACCTCTCCATTTGTACTTCAGTTAATTTTCTAAAGAAAGGTACATTTTCATTGGTTGATAACCATTAAAATGTGTTTTTTTACAATTAGATAGAGCCTTTACATTAGACTGGTACTTTTTTGCTACCTAGGAGGATACATTATAACTATATATATTTGTTTAAACAATTATATAGGTTGATATTTTCAGATTTTTAGTATGTTAGAAAATGATGAATGATATATTCCTTATTTACTGGCCGATTAAAGTTTTACTCAATGTACTTTTAATAAAACAACCTTAAAGTTTCGGATACATAATCTCTTATAAGATGTTTCACATTTTCAACTAAATGATTTATTAAAGGAACAGCGGGATTAACTGCAGCAAATTAATTAAAACTTTCAGGTGAGCCTGGAAAAATTTCAAATATGCTTAAGTGAAAGTGACTTGAGCTTAATTTCCTACTCACCTGAGGGCTGCTCTATACTAGAAAGTTAGGCCAACCTAGATACATTGTTTATGGGTGTGTAAAAGTCACACCTGAGAGAGACATAGTTAAGATGACCTAAGCCACACAGTGTAGACAGCGCTAGATGGAAGAATGCTTCAGATGACCTAGCTACTACCTCTCAGAGAGGTGGATTTACTTTAGCAACAGAACCCTCCCTTCTGTCACTGTAGTGTTTCCACTGCCACAGTACAGTGTTTCTAGCGTAGACATACCTACCCTTGGTCTCATTTTCAAGAGACTGTTTCCAAAGTTTTTCCAACTTAAACTAGGAGATCTGATCCCCTTCCTTCTTATTCACAGCCTGGAAGAAAGAGAGACAAGTTTTCCTATTTTAACTCCCACTTGATTTTTCAACCTTGCATGAATTAGTTCAAATGAAGAAAATACTCCGTGCCTGCAGAAGAGGCTATTGCTGTCAAAAGCTGGTTTAGAACTTCAACAAACTATGGTTCCAAGTGCTTGGCTAGTGATTTAAATCAGTTAAGTGGTGTGACTTTCTTTTAAAAGATCAGCTGCAAACATTCACTGCTCAAATGGTTCATCTCCAGCCCTTCAATTTATTATGGTTGGCATGATTGATGGGTGAATATTTAGATATCTAGGTCATAGTAATCTGATCTTCAGCAGTTAGGCATCTACCCTGGTTGAGAATATTGGCAGGAAAATTAGGTGGAGTAAGTCCTTGATCCATCCGCTTCTATACTGCCTGCACTCTCTTTTTTCAATGTCTAAGTACTTTCCAAATTTCAACAGCATCAGCAATACAGCAGCACTCTTTCTTCAGTTTGCCCAAGGCTATGGAAATAAATGGAATATACTGAATTCTACCACTTACATTTTCCCTTAAGTTTGATGTTGCCTACTTTGGCTGTGATAGTTCCATCTATTTTGTCATGCTTTTCTTCACAAATTGTCATCAGAATGGGCCAGTTCTTAACAAACAGCTTCAGACAGTCAACCAAGGAATTCCATCATGCATCTTGGGGGAGAACAAGTTTGGATCCTCCTGCTCTCTTCAGTGAAGCTGAGGCAAAGTGGTTGTTATGGAAGTATCTTGTAATTTCAACATGATTTTCCTTTATTCCTAGATTTGTACTTTGCTAAAAGATGCCTTAAATGAGCATTGCACCCATATGTCAAGTTTCAGGTTCCCTTCATTATCTTCTAGAATGCTTATCTTTTCTATGTTTGCAGCATTGACTGTGACAAAGCTACACACTTGAATTTTTGTTCAGTTTGTTACAACTTAATGAGAAACTAGATGGGCTCATTGAATGGTCCTGATGAAATGATGGTGTCTCCTGGAATCAGAGGCCCGGTCCCAATGCCTGTGATGACTTTGCCTTGCACCCAGTAACGCAGCCCAAGTCCACCACAGGATCATGTCCTTATTACAGTACATGACCTATTTGTGCCACATTTGTAAAAAACTACCTCAAAAGTTAGAATTGGAGAAAAGATCCTTCTTCATATAGAAAAGCAGACTTTAACTCAGAGTTTTAGATAGAGGCTCCATCAGGGATTCAGCATATTTATTATTTAAATGTTTTAAGAGCTTATCATAATTTAGCCTTAAAACATATTTTGTATTAAAGTCACATTTCATTTTAAAACAGATTTTAAAAAAATTAGCAAAACAAGATCAGTTTGATTTTTAAATAAATAAACAAATAGATAAATAAATAAATAAGACCCTGATATTTAATCACTTTTACTTAAATACAGTTATTTTATGCATTATTCCAGCTTGTATATGCAAGATGGCCATTAAATATAAACTCAGTACAATCCCTCAACAACCTCATAATCTCTGCCCCGCAGTCATTCTTTACCCTTCTCCTTAACCTCTCGCTCTCCTCTGGCTCTTTCCTCTCAATACAAGCATACTTTAGGCTCTCCCATCCTCAAAAGATATCCTTGACCCCTGTTGCCTCTCCAGCTACTGCCTCATCCACCCCCTTCATCCGCAAGCTCATCGATCAGATGTGCTGTCTACAAGCCCTGCTGGGAGTCTCTTCCAATTCCATTCTAGACCCTCTCCAATACAGCTTCCACCACTTGCACTCCACTGAAACAGTTCTCATTTCTCTAATGACCTCTTCTTACCCGAATGAGGATGGATTCTCTATCCTCAGTCTCCTTGACCCGTTGGCCACTTTCAAGAGGAGGAGCATGGTTGACTATGCTGAAGTTCTTGTCCTGGCTTTTGTGACTCTGTCCTTTCCAGGTCCTCCCTCCCTCTGATCAGCCTTCCGCATGTCATTTGAAAGATCCTTTTCCAACTTCAGGAGGAAGTAGGACAGGTCCCACAAGGCTTTGTCCAGGTCTTCTCCCTCTACACCTTGCCTCTTGGCAATCTCACTCATTCACAAATACAAGTTCCACCATCATTTCCCTGCTGATGCTCTCTCTATTTTAGAGAGTAAAATCTTAGCCGGTCTTTCAGACATTTCCTCATGGACTTCCAGCTGTCAGCTTAAGCTCAACATGACCAACACAGAGGTAAGCACTCTAGATAGACACAGATCCTCACATCCAGGCTAAGTTTGATCAGTTCTTCCTGCATAATATCTTGAAGATACAGTCTCTCCATCTGCACATCTAAGATTCTTGTCCAGATCTTCAACACCCTCTTCCCTACATTTGTCAAGGCCAATCTTGCCCCACTTATATCCATTCAAAACATTGCTGCAAAGGTCATTTTCCTGACCCCTTATTTTGTCCAAATCACCCAGTATTTGTATCCCTCACTGGCTCCTCCTCTTCCATGCATCAAACGCAAGAGTACTTGTCTTCACTTTCAAAGCCTACCCCCACATTCACTTCATCGTGAGATATTGACTTCCCTAGTCAATTCTGCCAATGGCCAGCTTTTGATACCCATGTATTCAGTTTTCAAATGAGCACCTTCATGATTCCTGCCCACACTGCTTCTTACTCCCGGAAATAGTTCCCTGCAAACACCTACAAAGCTACCTCATTGATCTCTTTCAAATACTTAGTTAACGCTCTCCTTTGCCATCAAACCTACTCATACCCATAACCCCCAGCACCACCACCCAACTTGACAATAGACAGTCAGCTGGTACACTGACACCACTGCTCATTATGCTAATACTATCATTATTTCCTGGAGCTCCCCCATTCATCTGTTATATCTACCAATTGTTTCTTGTCTTACATGGCTGCGAACTCTGAGGCAGGGATTATCTTTTTGTTCTGTATCTGTACAGCAGCCAGCACAGTGGGCCCCTGGTCCCTAACAGGACTCTCATGCACGAATATAACCACCACCATGGATGTGATTTGCTACAGGAAATGCCATTTCCGACTCCTCACCAGGAGCACAAAGAACTGGAATCACAGTTATCTTCCCCCAAATACTAGAATTACAAAAAGGAGAGTTACCTTTCCTTCTTCTTCCCACCTCCCCCATTACTCAACCTCAGGTACCCACTCAAGCAACCCACCAAGTCACAATTGTTAGCCCAGTGTTCACAACTCCTTAACACCTTATTGTAGTAGGGATCCCCCCCCAAAAAATTTTCCTTCCAGAACATGCAGTGATTAAAAAAAAAAAAAAAAAATTCTTAAAGTAGACCTATAATGCTTTAAAAAAAAAAAATCAGTTTAGACCCCAGGATTAATGACTACTTGGGATCCCAGTTTCATTCCTTAGAGAGAACACACACAGTGTCACTCTTGCCTTGGAGTCTTTGAAGTCAGTTTTATTGGCAGCATTCCCCTCTGCAACTCACATCCACTTACTGTACACCCAACAGAAACCTGGTAATGCTGAAAGCTGCAACTAAACACAATTCTAACAAAGAGCTCATAGAAACTAGCAATACCTACTTTTGGAGAGGCAAAAGAACATTTTAGCTTTCGGGTCTCTATCGCATGTGCCATTTCTTTCCATTCACTGAACATGTCATCACGATAGGCCAAGGACACATCAAGTGTAACTTCTGCATTGTCTTCTGCAAGAGTAACAACCAAGCTTATTATGAAAGGAACAGTATGTAACAAAAAAAGGTGCGAGAATAAATATTTTAGAACATAAGGATAAACTGATTTACATATGGTGATAGAAATCCCCCCATTCGACTCATATGGATATTTACCCTCTATAGCGGGGTCTCAAACACACATGCGGCCCGCGGAGTTATTTCCTGCGGCCCGCCATAGGTGCAGACTCCACCGGCAGCCAAGCTCCCCTCACCCCCTGCCCCCACCCCGAGCGTGCTGCATCCCCGCTCCTCTGCCTACCTCTCCGCACTTCCTGCCGCCAAACAGCTGTTTGGCAGCGCTTAGGATTTTCCAGGAGTGGGGGGTGGGGGGAAGGAGCAGGAATATGGCATGCTCGGGGGAGAAGGCGGAGAAGAGGCGGGGCCAGGGTGGGGATTTGGGGGAGGGGTGAAGTGGGGGTGGGGCAGCTTTAACCAAAGTAAATCTAAAAGTAAATGCGTGTTTTGTCATTTGAGTGAGGTCCATTACTGAGTGTTTATATTTTATTAAAACCCCCTCTTTGCATTAGTTTTAAAAAAGTTAATACATTGACTTTTAATAGCATACTATACTCCTCTTCATTTTTGACCATACTTTTGTATCGTTGTATGAAAAGTTTTCAGTGATGCGGCCCTCGGACCAACATACTAGTCCTCATGTGGCCCTTGTGGTGATTTGAGTTGGAGATCCCTGCTCTATAGGATGTTTATCTATTCTCCAGTAAGAATCCTAGAAGTCCAGGGTGACCGATCTTTATTGGTCATGAGTGTTGGGTATTCTTTTCTATGCTTGCTAACTTGTAGTCTTATGTAACCCGGCTCCTAGGGCACATGCACACGATCTGGCATCCTATGTCAAGGCTCTGCTGCCTCATGACTCACTTCACCATGGCTGCAATTGAATTTATATTATAGCTACCAATGAAAGCAGAACTCTCACTCAGTAACGGGCCCTACCCCACTTCACGTACTTATATTAAGTATAGTAAGATAGAACATGTTAAAAAACCTTAATGGACATTCTCTTCTGCTTTTCTCCCACTCATTCTTTTCCTGTCCATTTTCACCATTTCTAATGTCTTTCTCAGAAGAGTGTCTTTCTTCACCTCACACTTTGAAGCAGATGCAGAAAATGGTGGACAGGCCTGGAGCAGTAGTTGTTCAAAGTACAGGTTGCCACAAACAGCATCTGCTTTGAAATTCCCTAAAAGTGGAAGGTGGCATGGTAGCGAACGGACCAGAATCTCACCATGTGATAAGTCGCCACATACATTCCATCTAGTCTATTCAACTGAAGAGGTTTAGAAAGGCCATTTACATACAAACTATGAACAGATATGTTTTACAAAAGGGATCTTGAAACAAAATCCACCTAATCCCACCGTACTTATACAGTTCACATGGGTGCAGATTGACAAGGAACTCTGTACCCAACATATTCTTTTGAATCTCTGGCCCAAACCATGCATGCTGTGCTCTTTTGAGCAACTGGCCTTTACAGTTTACAAGGGATGATATTTCAAATCTACAATAGAATAAGAACAGATTCTTGAAGCTCTGCTTGGCCTACGCATGTGTCATCGTTTTCAGAGTTATGTTTTTGTTGGGATTATGTAATGGTACACTCATACAGAATGCTGGGAAGGGGTGTGGATGGGTTTGTGGTTTAGACTTGCTATTTATAGTGTGTTTGGAGGTGGCTCTCTCAAACTTTAATGTGGACGCCAACATGGTTTTTCTGAGCTGTTTTTGTCGCATGTGTGATCTGTGTCTTCCAAATCGATCATGAGTTCTGATATCCCAGAACTATCTTTGCAATAGTTAGTTAGGCTTCCTTGAAATATGAATACATGAGCTCAGGTCCACTGTTTTAGCATTTCAGCAAATAATGGCTAAATAGTCCAGTCAAACTTGGTCCCAAAAGCCCACCCACACACCCCAATTTTACAAACCATAAAATGGGAATATTCAGGACTTCAATTCCAGTGGGAACAGTTTTTAAAAACCACTTCATTTTTGCAAACTAAAACACTGCTGCATTATCACCGGTCATGAAAACCAGAAAGCAAAAAATTAAACTAGTATATTTTTGTACAAGCCAAGAGAAATGCAAAGAAGAAATATATTTGATTTTTCAAATGTTCAGAGTTTTATTAAGCAGTAGTATGGGATTACTCCACCCATCAGAGATGCAACCTGACTGAAGTGTCCCTTCAAATTGACAAGAACAGAAAGGTTCTTACGTACCAATACAGTATAAAGAGACTTGGATTCCCCACCTGGGTGCATGGGGGAGGTGGGGGTCAAAAATTATTTGATATATATACACACACAATTTCTGCTAAATACTTTAAACCATGAAAGGTTTGTAACTCCTACTTGTATTGGCTATACTAAACCCCTTAGACAGTTAACTGTTCTTTCATACTTTTTGTTCAGCTGGGTAACATTGCTGATGTTGCAGATTTAAAAAAAAAAAAAAAAAAAAACAACAGGGACCATGTATATAGTTAACATACTATAGTAAGGTGTGGAAATTGGAGCAAAAAGCAGACACCCCACTATGTTTGGCCGCAAGACAAGGGAGTGGTTTTAAAACTGGATGTCAGACACAGATCATCGGAGGAACGAACAAAGAGACTCCCCATCAACATATTACTCGCTTCTTGTAATGCCCAATACACAGTATGTGCCTTCTTTACAGAAGTAAGGCACAACATTTGTCCTGAGGAGCTTATACTTTAAGTTAAGTTAGAGAGGTGAACTGAGAATGGGGCACGGGAAAAGGGTACAACATACAAATAAAGTAGTCAAAATTGTGCTTCTTGAGCTAGTTGGTATAAATTGGCTGCCTATGAGGAATTTAGCATGGCAAAAAATTGGGTCTTCAAGGAGGGATTTAAATATAGAGGGTAGGGACCTTGCAGATGAAGTCACAAGAAATATTAAGACCTCTAAACAAAAGTCTCTGCCAAATGGCCCCCTCATATTCCATTAAGGGCTCATCTTCCAGTGGTCTTTTATCCTCTCTACTCCTGGCTTTTGGGTGCCTCCACTTCAGACCATATGGAGTGCTCTTTGAGCTCAGACAGCTGCAGGATGGGAACAGAGCCCATTCAAGATAGCGCCAGGTACTTTTGGGGATGAGAGTAAGGATTCCATCCCCCAAAACATAATCAGAACCAGGATAACAGGCAACACCTTCAAGGCTTTGGAGAGGCAGCCACACATCCTTCCTATAAAGGGAATTAAAGAGTCATGTATGGGCAGGGAAAGGTAGAGAGGAGTGTGAAGAGGGGGTAGTGTCTTCTCCATACTTAAGGTATAGAGAAAGCAGGAGAGATTTCCGATTCAGGGAGAAAGAGAGAGTAGATGAGGAAGAGCAGCACCTCGCCTGTCTCTGAGTGCCCATAAATATATTTAGCTTGTCAAAATATCAATGTTCAGGGAATTAGTTACTTAGTTCCTCCATGTTGCATAGAATTCTCCAGTTTTCAGAACCATGTACGGCTGCAAAAACACTGCGGTGGATGGGGTTACACACAAACATGGTATCCACCACCTCCTTTGGTGTCAAAACATGAGACTGGCCAGGCACCTATAACAGGCTACCGTATATAGTTAAGATTCAGATTAAGCATGTGTAGTTGTGAGGGTTTCCCTTCCACTTCCTCCCACTGCATGCTCAGACTCGATGAACCTTCCATAGATGCACAGGACACTTGTGCACAGAAAAGGTGGTCATGCAATTACATTGTAAATGTAACAAGATGCTGCATGGATAACAGAGCCGTGGCTGGAGAAAATTCCAGATTTCACATCCTCATAGCACCTCAGTTGTCAATACCAAGATGTGGTGAATAATAATCTGACCTGCCCCACTGGATTATTTTGAAACTCTCTAAATGAGAAAATAAACTTGTTTATACAGTAGGCAGTGTGCCAAGGATGACTGTCTCCTGGTACCCACATTCTCCTAAGGCTTCCAGTCAGTCACAGACTTCTCCATGACAGTTTCATGGACATCCATAAGATAACTGAGGTCACAATTACAAGAGCCCTAAAGAAAGACGATTTAGCTCTCTTTGCATTCCCCATGTCACATCTCAATGTGTCTGGATTTTGAGGCTAGAGATTCAACTGCTAGGATCTTTCACCCGACTCCCTTTAAACTGTTATTAGGTAGGTGTGTGTGTGTGTGTGTGTGTGTGTGTGTGAGTGAGAGAGAGAGAGTCTAAAAATAGGGAAGTCATTTCACAGAATGACAGGTCTGTGCCAGCCGCATACTAATAGAGCAATCTGGAAAGACACTTGCAACTAGAAAAAATTGTCAGTTTTGGCATTAGCAGACGGCTAGCAAAGGATAGAAGTACAAGCCAGCCAGCCTACGAAGAGCAACGGGACAGCTCACACAAATCTCAGTAGGAGCATGCAGGGCTAGACGAACTATGGTGTGATTACCATCACCACTTTTTTTTCTTGAAGGAGATTTTTTTCCTTCATGCTGACAGTACTGGAAACTTAAGTCATTCACATCTATTAGGATTTTTTAAGATTCACTTAAAATGTGTCTCCCCACCTTCACTTTTTTCATATTTATTTGGCTGAAAGTGTTTTACGTCCTTCACAAAACAGTTAGGGAATGTTGTAGGTAAAGTCACGCCATTGATTTACTACGTAATAAAATGCTGCCAGCACCTCCTGCTTATAAAGCACATTTCGTATAATCGATTTCAAGTGTTTTCCTCATTTTATACATGTTGAAACTGAGGCAGATATGTCAAGTGACTTGGCCAAGTTTGTAGCAAGAGTCGGGAATAAAACCAAGTCCAAGTTCACTAACTGTGAATAAAAGTAAATCCGTTCTCTGCATAAGAGGTTAAATATAACGTAGTCTGAGGAGGAGTGCTAATGTTCATTATTACTGATCTGGAAGACTGGACCATTCTGCACTGATGATGTACAACAGGTGAAGCTTGATAAACAAGGAAGTCCTACGTCCAAGAAGGTACAGCAGACAAATACTGTGTCCAGTGATACAGCACATTATCTCTCTTCCACTAAGCATTCAGCTATAACCAATGTGGTGATGGCGGCAAGATGTTCAGACAGTTATTTCTATTACTTAAGACTAGAGAGGACTGAGGATTGGAAATTTAAGTTGAAGGACTTAAGTTATCAGAACAACAACTGATAGAATCTAATGCAAACCTATTAAGCAAGTGAAAGAGGATTTAAGCTGTTGTTGGATGTGTACCCAAATTGGAATATTACCTCCTGAATGCAAAGTTACTGCCGAAGGATCAAAGGCCAGAATGCATGAAAGTTTGGACGAGCATAAGTGCAGGCAATGGCCTGCTAGGTGCTGGGCTAAGTTGAGGCATGTGTACTGTAGGTCAGTCAAGAAATAGTTGGTTTGAAACCAGGTGCTTTATGGTGGAATGAGCACTGATGAGCTGAGTGGCATTTTACCCAGTCCCAAAAAGTTTCCAGTGTTCTCTAACTCAATGACAGGAATAAGATCTAATTGCACAGTAATAGAGTAACACTTCAGGTTTCAAAAGAAGCCTTTTGTGCCGACTCTAAACAAGCGATTTTTTGTGGTCAGAAACCAGATCACCACAATGCTCCCCCCCCAGTTCTACTTCACTTTCAAGGTTGCTGCCAGCCAGCTAAATGTCAGATTACTGCATACAAACATTCCCTCAGCGAGTGCCATCCATCGTCCTGGTAACTAAGCTCTTTCAACAGCTGTGTTATTGATGGAGACTGGCCAATGTTATCCACACAGAGCATTTGTTTCATACAGTTTATGTGAATGAAACTTACTGCACTGAGATAAGACTGGAATTCTATTTGCAGTCGTTACCTGCTTGACCAATTAAATGAAATATGCATGGCACATTTCAATAGCCAAATACAGACCATTTTAACCACTTCAGCAGTTCAGACTTCTTTGGCAGATTTCTCCATGCTCCCCATCTTTTGCAGAATAGTCAAACTGACCAAGAGGATTTGTTGTTTTCAATACTTGAGTAAACATTGCATTAAATAGGAATAGCCTGTTTAGATCCAGAAATTAGCCATTTTTAGAGAAAAGCCAAGCTCAGGCAGCTTTCAATGTGAGTTGAAAGACATAGAAAAAGGCAGTTTGCTCTTAAGTATCTGGATCCTTATCAAAGACCTAATCACGTTCTAAAGATGTGCATGAAGGTGGTCTTCCTTTCTTCTGAAGGGCGTAATACCATTCAGCATTCCTGAAGGTATATTTTAGGGCTACCCAATTTGTGTTGCTTTGAGAAAAAACATCCTACAGAGTCCACTTGGGGCCACAGTGCCATGACTAGCATTTCATTCTACCAAAGGAAAGCCCCTGTTTAGTCAATGACCAAGTTCTAAAGTTATTAGACTGACATACATCCCCAACTTGTGGCATTCTAAACAGTCAGTGATGCATAATGAGCAAGCAGAGTAATACTAATTAAACTGTGGTAGAACTATGACAGTCTCCCATTATCCTTGCCCTATGGCTCAAATGGCAAAATTTAGAACTCTAACTGGTCAGAGGAAAAACCTACATCAAAAATAACATGAGTCACTGCAACCTTGTCACTGGAGCCCCGCTCCCCGTCTCCCCCAGGCAAATATTGTATACATACTCCCTCCCAGAATCCTAATATCAGATTCCTCAAAATAATCCAACTCAGCTAGAAAATTCGAGTACAGAGAAGTATTGCAAATACACTTTTGTTCAGCTCAAACAGCTTGCAGACCCCTAATGAACAGAGGTCCTGGCTTTTGCAGTGAAAAGTGAAAACCAGTTCAAGCAAGCATCAGAAAGTTACAGGGTCGCTGTTGAGTACAGATGAACATCCCTCTTATCCTTTCTCTGGTTTTCTGACTGTGCCTATGCAGATTTCAGTAGCCTTGAAAAGCTAATTTATAAATGCAAGGGATATGTGCTCACTAGAAGAAAAAAAAAGAAGTGTAGATTTAATATGGTTGATTTTAGCTTTGTTAGGAGTACTACTGATTAATTTGTAACAACACTACATAATAATTTGGGACATGGATCTTAGGGGACTGACTTCCAAACAGTAGCATAATGGAGATCAACCATGCATTTTACCATTGCAAAGTCTTTCAGAATGAGCTCTTGAAGGAGGGGCCAGCGCATGTTCTCATCCAAAAACGTAAGGCTACTACACCCAGTAACAGCAAGGAGAGGACAGATTCATGTTCACTCAACAAGAGCAAGACTAAAACAGGAATGATCTCAAGGTAAATGTTCGAACATACGAAAGAGTCCACTCCATATTTGTGCTCTCAAACTGAGGGAGTAAAAAAAAAGGCCATTTCTGATGGCAGATCAGATCAGAATTATGCTTCAGCATTCTTTGTTGGGAGGGAGAGGAAGAAGAAGGAGGAGAGTTCCTTATGCTAACTTTCCTTCCTTTATGGAGCTGTCCCCTCCCCACAATTTCTTTTTCAATGAGAAGGAGCCTCCCTAGCTCACATAAAATTTTAACAACTGACTATTCTTTCCACCGGCCATTCCAGCATTAGCACGCTGCTTTATAGCCCATCCAGTAAAATGCTGCACATCAGATTAAAATAGCACTATCTGGTTAGCATCACTAACCTAGCATAGTTTCTGGAACTTTTTTAATTTTCTCCCATGCAGAGGGAGATCATGGATCCCAGCTAGTGACCTTTGTTTTATGGTTCAAGTCCTAGTTCCACTAAGTCAGTGGATTGTTGCCATTGGACTTCAGTGGGAGCGGTATTAAAGCACAAAATGGTTTGTTACATAGTAGCATCTGACAAAGGGGGATTTGGAGAAGACACTGCTCTTACCATGGTCACTCCCTTTTGTATGGTTGGGGGATATTTTGATTTTTCCATGATTTTATACACAGTAAATAATCCATAAATTGACAGAGCCTCGGGACATTAAAATTCTCCTTAAAATGATGGTTTGAAAAGGGAACAGCATTTATATGTTCTCAGTTCGTATGTACCCCATGTAGCTCAACTTTGTCTACATAGACAATTAAAATACATTTTAAGAGAAATTAAAAACAAAAAACCCCCACACACTATGGTCAAAGTTTTCTTGTACTGATCAAACATTTGGGGGGATACGGTGAGTGACATACTTATCTCATTGTTTTTCTTGAACGCAATGTCCAGCTGCAGGATAACAAGTATGAACTGGAACCAGGGACTCATCTCCTTGGTGGGGAGGGGGATGTGAACAGCAAACACAATGTCATTGGCTTCTATTTGTCTGCTCATTGCCTCGTCAAGATCTCGGATCCTCTCACACTGGTTGGGTCCCCAGGGCATTAGCCATTTGGTTTTGTGGTGGTTTTTCCGGACATCTACACATTTTATTGACAGGTAGGGCACAGCCGAAGTGGGACTTGGAGCTGAAATTGAAACAAGCCACATTTTTAGAATCTTTAACGTTACATGACTAACAGTTTATAAAACCAGATTATCCCCTCAACCCCACAGAGAAGTACAGGAAACCAGTTACAAGAGAGCAGTCATTGCTATTAGCCTTTTAAAAATACTTTAGGAATCCTTTCAACATATGCAAGAAGCAACACAGTAGTTAAGTAAAGAAGTTTCTAGGTGAGAAAGTTTTAGCCTTGTTCCACTGACTAGGCATGCCAGTGGCATTTTGCATCACATGATGGAGTAGCCACTGTGACCATGAGGGCCACTTTTAAAGGAGGCCAACCGGAAGTGAGGTGCAGAATGTAGTACGTCTATCCACTGGATCAGGCAGTGTTGTCCAACTTATGGCCCTTCTGAGTGACTAAAGGAAATGTGGTCTGAAAAGACATTTCTATAAACTGTGCGCTGTGGTTTTACTAGATCAGTTGCTACATGGCATAGTGGAAGAACATACAGATGTGAATGTGCCACCTATGCATTTCAACTTCTTTAAGAGAAAGAGGCAATTACAGATTTTCAAAACTTAGCCTCTTTTCTTGTGCTTGTAATTATTTATTTGAGAGATAAAAAAACTAGCCGGAGGGTCATATTAGACAACAATATATCTAATTTGTGGGGTCAGTCATGTTACGTCACTTGCACATCTAGATACTTGTCCAAGGAGATTTCTAACATAAGAAGGGAGGCCAGGATGAGGCATTATAATAAACAAAAAACCACATGCATCTCAGCTTACTTTATCTAGCTAGAAAACATATCGCTCCTAGTTCTTAAATACAAAGCCCTTCCTTGCCTTTAGCCTTATTTCTGCAGAGAGAAATTTGAATGCAAGTTGTTTTTAAATTGCATCAGCATGATTTAGCCAGCTGAATGCATAGAGCTTGAGACGAGACACCATTTGGCTCCATCCACCCCAGTTGGTCAAGCCATGTTAACACATTTTAAACTGAATTAGTTTCAAAACAGCGCTCATGGTAACATTACTACCTCTGGATTAACTAATGACTTCCATTCATGGCAACAGGTCTCTAGGAGACACCATCACTCACAGGAAATTTTGATAGATAGGCTTTACAAACCAGGAGTAAGAGGCTTTATTGCGCTTTTTGTAGCTTGCTAGAAATGTCACCTTAAAAATCTCTGGGCTGTGAGGCTCCCAGTCTTTGCAGTCACTAATTCAAGTTTCTGCAGTTGTGCCATACTTGCATCCTGTGCAGCTGGGGCCAGAGATATCACTGTGGCCCCTGAACAAGATTTCACAATGCCTTTTCACAAGAGTTAGCAACTCGGATGCCTTTTCAGTGGGTGCTACAGAGTTGTAGCAACAACAGATGAGGCTTCCCCTCAACTTTGACTCTGCCCATCAAGTGAAACCTTGGGGAACAGCAGCAAAAGTGGTAGAGGAAAGAGTCTGCAGGACTGCCAAGGTTGACACATTGGGTTCAGATAAACGCATGACCTCATGCTCATGATGTGCATTTAGGGGGGGAGAATGCTCTTCCCAGAGAGTTACCAGAGTAAGTGGCCTGTGCATTAGAGTTCTGCAAAATGTAGCGGTAGAGCTGGCATGAATGCTCTCAGTCTGCAGAGCTACACTATACCATTATGCAACCTTCAGACTGTAGTAGCCACCCATCAACCTCTATCTGCTGGACATTCTCCTATATGCTGCGGGATGAGGTGGGCCGGGGGTAGGGGGGGAAGAGATCTACACATCTTCAAATTAGGCATCCAGATATGTTCCTACAGTGTGGAAAAACTCCCTGCACAATTGTGCTTTTTGGTAAGAACTCCCTGCCCAACCCAAGGCAGCAACACTGCATTAGATTTGCGGCATTCAAGACCTTACATCGAATCACAGCACTGGAAGGAACCTCGAGAAGTCATCTAGGCCAGTCCCCTGCACTCAAGGCAGGGCTCAGCATTATCTAGACCGGGGTGGGCAAACTTTTTGGCCTGAGGGCCACATCGGGGTTCCAAAACTGTATGGAGGGCCAGGTAAGGAAGGCTGTACCTCCCCAAACAGCCTGGCCCCCACCCCCTATCTGCCCCCTCCCACTTTCCACCCCCTGACTGCCCCCCTCAGAACTACCGACCCAGCCAACCCCCTCTGCTCCTTGTCCCCTAACTGCCCCCTCCTGGGGTCCCCTGCCCCTAACCACCCTCCCCAGGACCCCGCCCCATCCAACGCTCCCCCCGCTCCCTGCCCCCTGGGACCCCCTGCTCCCTGTCCCCTTACCATGCTGCTCAGAGCACCAGGACTGGCAGCCACGCCACCAGACCGGAGCCAGTCACGCAGCTGCACAGCCCGGCAGGAGCTCGCAGCCCCTGCCCACTGCCCAGAGCGCTGGTGGCACAGCGAGTGAGGCTGCGGGGGTGGAGGTGTGGGGGGACGACATGACAGCAGGGGAAGAGGCCGGGGGCTAGCCTCCCCGGCCAGGAGCTCAAGGGCTGGGCAGGATGGTCCCGCGGGCTGGATGTGGCCAGCAGGCTGTAGTTTGCCCACCTCTGACAGATGTTTGTCTAACCTGCTCTTAAAAATCTCCATGATGGAGATTCCACAACCTCCCTTGGCAATTTATTCCAGTGCTTAAGATGTTTTCTAGACCCTTAATCATTTTTGTTGCTTTTCTCTGGACTTTCTCCAATTTGTCCACATCTTTCCTGACATGTAGTGTGTCCATTTCTGGGCACTACCCTCCAGCTGAGGCCTACACAGCATGGATTAGAGCGGAAGAATTATTTTCCATGTCTTGCTTACAACACTCCTGTGAATACATCCCAGAATGATGTTTGCCTTTTTTTTGTTTGCGCACAAGTTTTATATTGTTGACTCATCTTTAGCTTGTGATCCACTATGACCCAGCTCCCTTTCTGCAGTACTCCTTCCTAGACAGTCATTTCCCCATTTTGTATGTGTGCAACTGATTGTTCTTTCCTAAGTGCAGTACTTTGCATTTGTCCTTAATGAATTTTATTCTATTTACATCTCAGATCATTTCTCCCGTTTGCCCAGATCATTTTGAATTTTAATCCTATCCTCCAAAGCACTTGCAAACTCCTCCCAGCTTGGTATCATTTGCAAACTTTATAAAAGTACTCTCTATACCATTTCTAAATCATTGATGAAGATATTAAACAGAACTGGATCCATAACTGATCCCTGTGAAACCCTCCTATATGCCTCTCCAGCTTGACTGTAAACCACTAATAATTATTCTTTGGGAATGGTTTTCCAACCAGTTACGCACCTACCTTATAACAGTTCCATATAGGGCTGTATTTCCCTAGTTTGTTTACGCCCAAGAATGTAGGGGTCAGAAGAATATAGCCTCTCTCTCTCACGTTTGTGAAGAGGTGTGGCAGCAGATTAGTTGAATGGAGACAAGAATGCACAGAAATTGCCTCTTCGAGTTTGGTTGGTATGAGAGACAGAGCCCTACCAAATGAAGATCAGCATATTGCCTTTACTGTTTCTTTAAAGACTTCTATGAGGAGAAGTTTCTCAAAATGTACAGTCCCCATGTTCAGTTAGCATATTAATAAATTACCCAAGAGGCTTATATTCCAACAAATATTTATCCTTCATGGCCCAGTTTCTGCTTAATCTTGCCGCGAAGTTAAAAAGTGCTCAAATAGGTAAGCAGACATAGGAGTGTGACTTCACAGTGGGATCAAAATAAGATTAGCTGGTGGAAAAGGAATAAATGGATTCAGCTCCAGGTACTTTCAACAATAACAGAGATGAACTGAATATTATTGGTCGCAGCAATTTACTTTGCACACATTCCCTTTCAATATGTCCCAATGAGCAAGTCCCCGTGTAAAGCTCATATCAGTAACTGATAAATAACCGTATCATGCAGATGAGACAATGACCTGCTCTGATTAACTGAATCAAAACATGTTGCTCGGGTAAAAGTGTATTTCTCTTGCTGCTGGATCATGACTTAAAAAGCAAAAAAAAAAAAAAAAAAAAAAAAAGCAAGTTGGACAGTACAATGAGTGTCTAAAGCTACTGTCCCATCGCCTTTTATGATGAGATTACTGGTTCTGTGGATGAAGGGAAAGCAGTGGATGTACTGTTTCTTGACTTTAGCAAAGCTTTTGACACGGTCTCCCACAGTATTCTTGTCAGCAAGTTAAGGAAGTATGGGCTGGATGAATGCACTATAAGGTGGGTAGAAAGCTGGCTAGATTGTTGGGCTCAACGGGTAGTGATCAATGGCTCCATGTCTAGTTGGCAGCCGGTATCAAGTGGAGTGCCCCAAGGGTCGGTCCTGGGGCCGGTTTTGTTCAATATCTTCATAAATGATCTGGAGGATGGTGTGGATTGCACTCTCAGCAAATTTGCGGATGATACTAAACTGGGAGGAGTGGTAGATACGCTGGAGGGGAGGGATAGGATACAGAAGGACCTAGACAAATTGGAGGATTGGGCCAAAAGAAATCTGATGAGGTTCAATAAGGATAAGTGCAGGGTCCTGCACTTAGGACGGAAGAACCCAATGCACAGCTACAGACTAGGGACCGAATGGCTAGGCAGCAGTTCTGCGGAAAAGGACCTAGGGGTGACAGTGGACGAGAAGCTGGATATGAGTCAGCAGTGTGCCCTTGTTGCCAAGAAGGCCAATGGCATTTTGGGATGTATAAGTAGGGGCATAGCGAGCAGATCGAGGGACGTGATCGTTCCCCTCTATTTGACATTGGTGAGGCCTCATCTGGAGTACTGTATCCAGTTTTGGGCCCCACACTACAAGAAGGATGTGGATAAATTGGAGAGAGTCCAGCGAAGGGCAACAAAAATGATTAGGGGTCTGGAACACATGACTTATGAGGAGAGGCTGAGGGAGCTGGGATTGTTTAGCCTGCAGAAGAGAAGAATGAGGGGGGATTTGATAGCTGCTTTCAACTACCTGAAAGGGGGTTCCAAAGAGGATGGCTCTAGACTGTTCTCAATGGTAGC